CAAAGTCAGAATCGGAAAAGCAAGAGAGGCGTTCATTAGCCTGAAACCAGTGTGGAGATCTACTGCACTGCACTCAACATGTGGAACAAGATGCGGATTTTCAACACCAACGTCAAGTCAGTGCTTCTGTGTGTTTGAGAGACTTTGCGCCTTACGAAAGGGATTTTCAATAAACTACAGACATTCATCAACAACTGCCTACACTGGCTCGTTACTGAAGATCAGATGGCCAGAAAGAATAAGCAACAAGGAACTCTGGGAACGAACCAACCAAGAACCTATCAGTCAACAAATATGCAGAAGGAAGTGGAAGTGGAGATGGATTGGGCATGCACTGAGGAGGCCGACTGAGGACATCACGCGTCAGGCCCTCGAGTGGAATCCCCATGGGAAGCGATGAGTTGGGCGTCCGAGATGAGGGTGACATGGAGGAGATCGTGCGAGGAGGAAATGAGAGGTTGTGGGCTGTCGTAGGACCAGGTTGAAAAGATCTCAGAGAACAGAGGTCACTGGAGACGTGCTACTGAAGCCCTATGTTCCATTAGGAACCCAAGGGACTAATAATATAAATAATAATTGTGAGGTATATTCAGATATGTCACCAAGAGTTCTCAACCACTGATTCCTATCGTCTCGCGGGGTTCCCACCAAGGTAGCCTATAGGTCTGAGACCAGCAGTCAGAGACTGCATAGGCCGATGCTACGTTTTGGTTCGGCTACCGTGAGCCTTCTTACTAAGTTCTCTTCGCATTCTACGTAGGTGGTGACACGGTATACTGCAGTACATATTCAAGCCACCTCAACCGATGCAGGTTTACAAGTTCTCCAATCAACTCACCTGTCTTGCCTAGTATGTTTCGCCTGATTTAAACATTGCTCATACGTTGATTCCTCTAAACGCGAGCAATGTTTCCAATACATCTGTGATCAAAAGCCAGAATTCGCTTCATGTCGTCTACTTTTATGGACCACGTCTCACAGTCGTATAACAGGATAGAAGGGACTACAGCACAGTATACTTTTCTTTTCATAGATAGCAGTATATCTCGCTTTTTTGAGCCAGAGATGACGCAAACTGGCAAATGGCAAACGGACCTTCTGTATTCGATCTAAGGTTTCGTCAGCAAACAGGCTGATGCAACTCCCCAAGTAAGTGAATTGTTCGACACATCCCACCACTCCAATCCCTATCATTAAAATGCAGCAGATCAGCCCCGAAGTATCATCCTACATTTGAAAGATGTGATATGCACGCCAAACGTACTCTGATTTGTGCTCAATGAGATCGGAAGACCGTTAACTTTGTGTCAGTTTGAGTAGAGAGGTTTGATTAGTGTTAAAGGCTTACTTGGTAACTTTCCCACTGTCAGACACTGCTACAACACCTCACAGTCGACAGAGTCGAATACCGTCTTCAGGTCAACAAACATACCAAGCAAATGTCGCCCACCAGTAGGTATACCTGTGTTTCATAACCTGTCTGCTGGTAAGAACATGATCGATGCAACTTCGAACAGGTCTGTCTGAAACCTGCCTAGTTTCCTCGAGTTTGATATTCTCGAGCTCCGCTTAGGCGTCGTATAACTATAGACCCTAGGATCTTCGACACAATATTAGTCAAAATAAATCCCCTATGGTTGTCACAAGAAGATTTCTCTCCGTTCTCATAGACTAGGATAATCAGTGAATTACACCAGTCTGATGGCATTACCTCTGATTCCTATACACTACCTAATATATCTGTCACTCTTATCAGCTATTTCGTCCATCTATCCTTAAAAACGTCTGGTGGCAAACTGTCAGATCCTGGTGCTTTGCATCCTTTCAGGTTCCATACAACTTTCTCAACTTCGGAGAGGATTGAAAGACTGACATCTACGTCCCATTCAGGTTCAGACTGGATGTTGGGCAGTTGAAGCGTTACTGTGCGCAGTGGAATTTTGCTTCAAGATGTTCTGCCTCACGTTGTAACCGCCTGTCGTTTAGAGCGTCTCATCCTTTTCGGTGATGGTTTCACTCACCATCGTCTTCTTGCTGGCATTCTCGATAACCCTAACTAGTTGTCTTTGTGTTACTCAACGGTGATGCCTCCTCATCTCTCTCGCTTCCGCTACCTACCACTGCTCGCAATCACTGTGAAAACTCTTTGTCAGTTCACACCTAAATTGCTTTCGATACTCATCATGGTCATCAGAGCCAGCTGGAAAACGTCATCTCAAATCAATCAGTTCAGATGACATTGCAGAAATCCACTGACGTTTGCTAATCTTAACGTATAGGTCACCAACTGTCTTTGCCACTGTTTCTACAGCAGACCTTACATCACGACAAGTTTCCTCAAGATGCGTATTGCTTTCACGTTCAGAAACTTACGAGCCCGTACTAGTATTTGGTCTCAGTTGAAACTGATACTTCAGAAACAGTGAAATCCTCCGCTGATCCTCTAACGATGGCTTATAGCAATGTGATCTATCTTTATTCATCGTTGGTTTGATGTCGACTGACGCAATGTGTGACAGTGCATCTCCTTATGCTGCTTGAAGTTATTGCTGGTGAGAAACAGAGAATTTTCGTTGTTGGTTCGTTGGCATGGTGATTCGTAAATACCTCATAGATGCCTATCCAATAGTCACACCTTCCTTACTTGAGGGTTAACGTCAGTCACCTGCCGTCATAATTACATCTGAACGGTTTGCTGTCTGTAGCAAACTTGACAGCTTCTGACGGAACTCATGCTTTGCGTTATCTGAACTACATTCGATGGGCAAGTAGGAGGAGATTACGAATAGGCATTGTCTAGTCTCAAAATCCTTCCTAGTTCTTACAAATCCATTCAACCGAGCAGCACATAGACGACTATTGATGGGTATCTGATCGAAAAGCTCACTTCCTACCGTGCAATTCATTGTTATGGCTACAACAACGAGTCGACGAAAGGTAGTCATTGGATCTCCAGGTAATCTTTAAGTGAATCTTGAAGACTCACTACAGTGGCCAAGTGAGGTCAATTCAATAACCATATTCGGATGTGATATGCTTGTTTGAGAGACACAAGGTAGACCTATGGCTTGATATTTCATAGTTGTTGTTGCGAGTGGTGCCTGCTGCCTGATTTGGCATAGAGTTCGGACGTAGAAAGCTTCTACATGAAATCGATGGTGGGGTCTTAATAGACTCAGAATGATGTTTTGTTTGCTGGCAATGGTGGCAGAGTGAGAGGTTTGGTAAGTTGTAAGAGGCCTAATATTAGTATCAGGAGGTGAAAGGAAAGGAAGAGATGGAGTTGGGGAGGATAGGTTATATTTGATTGGGTGTTATATACTACTGGAAGCGTGTGGGTTATTTACACTTCCCGACTGGCCACACTGTGGAAGGTTATTTCTCGTTAAGCTACCTGAAAGAAGAAGAGATTTTTGTGACTGCATAGCCTATGGGACATCTGCTTGAGATCGAACAGATACGGCCTTTCTGAAACTTTTAGATTTCGGTGGTTTGCTTTTGAATCCGACTATGAATCTCTGTTGTAGACATCGTCATATCGCGAGGGGGGATTGTTGTATGTTTGGGTCCGACCTTTTCTAACCCTTCATTCCGGTTTGGAAGGTAGTATCAGCGTCGGACTACTGATCATCCATGGGAAACACTTTAGTGCTGTCATATCCCATCTAGCTAATCCTCAAATCACTATCATAGCGTAGCGATTTGCGCTATTATGGTAACTGCTTTTCGTCTTCTCATTACTCAGCAGGGAACAAGTGTTCCACCAGCATACTTCGTTGGGTCGTTGTTATATAAAAGCCCAACCACTACGTCAAAGTAGTAGCTTTGGGTCGGGTGATACTACATAGATTCTTCGTCATCTCAGAGTCCATTCTTAATATATGATTAAGTCGATCGTGAATCTATAACTCTTGTATGATCTCACTTGGTTTCAAAGTAGATTATGTTTTAGTTGAATGAGTTTGCCGTTTAGCTTACTTGTATAATGGAATCAAAATCTGTGTGATCAGACTGAGCTCAGGATTCATATTTTTCAACTGGGTCGTAAGTTTGATAGTTAACCAACCAATGAGTTTTGGTTTAACCTCACAGTAATTCATTTATTGTCCTGTGCTATGCTGTTACAGTTATTAAGTTGCTTTGAATTCATTGGAACCGTTAACTAACAATCCGAAGTTACTTGTACTTGATCTAAATATTGGGGCACGTAAACCCTAAGTAAATAGAGTAAGTTGAAGGGGGGGGGGCGGTATGTCACCGAAATATGCACTCCCCAAAACTATAACTATTTACCCTACTTGTTTTAAAGAAACATTAATCTTTTCACTATCCTGTTTTTATGTATTCGAATTAAATAGTTTAGCATAACATTTTTTTTTCCTGCAGGGGAAGTCTGTTATCGACGGTGTTGTTGAAAGAACATCTATCAGCTTGTTATCAGTACATACACCTTCCCCACCTATGTTATCAATGGCTGATGGGATATCAACTATTGACATTGAAGTACCATCATCACTGAATCATGTAACCAGTAATAATGTAGCTGATAATAGTAATAATGATATTTCCTGCATTTCAAAATCATATCATTCTTTGACCAGTGAAACAAATAATGTATTACCGCCGTGTTTATCACTCTACGATAGTGGACTGCTCGTTACTCAGTCAAAATCGAATTATTCTTCTATTACTTCATCTCAGTCTTCACCTTCATCATCGTCGACATTATCTTCATCCTCAAGTACAACAGCTAAAGTTGTAGATGCTTCCATAGTAAATAATAATGTTCAACATCATAAACTATTTCCTTCCTACAGTCGTCAAGTGGTTGATACATTATACATTTCACAAGGATATGAATCAAATTATAATGTTCCCTTGTATGTAGAAACTAATTTAGATGACTATGAAGCTGATACAGATACTCAATTGACTGGTACTAGTCAACAACTATTATCATCATCGCCGTCGACAGCTTCGTCTGCTCAAAAACAACAACAACGTGAACATCATCTAGGACAAGAAGAAGAAGAAGAAGAAGAAGAAGAAGAAGAGCATAGTTTTGTAACAAATGTATGCTCTGACATCTCCACACATTCTTTATTAGATGTTGTTGAATCCAGTAATTTTCATACTTTACAACCATTGCCTTACACATCCGATTATCATCATCATGATGGTGAAAAACATCCATCACATCGTTCATGGCCTTCGTCGCCTATCCGTTTCAACTTAGTAAGCAAATCTGCTCCATCTAAATATACTTTTCAAAATCAAGACCAGTTGGTTGGTAGTTCCGCATCATTATCCTCATCGTTATCATCTTCACCTCCGATACTTTGTCGTGCTGTACATAATTGTACACCTACTACAGCTCCATCATTGATACCATTCAATATGTTAGACAATGATAAGACAGTTGTTGTTGGTGTTTGTCAACCACTTGTCAACCATTCAACTCATTCACCTTTACCCCCTGTATTGATAACTAATAACATAAAGTCAGAGACATTATCACCCATCTTCACCTCCTCCCTTCCAACTCATTGGCATCATCGTCGTTGTGGTATCCCACCACCAGTTTTATTACCATCAGATACTTGTGATATAAGTAGGTTTCTATTTTATATTCTACTCGCTTTTTTTTATTGCTGTTGAAATCAATCAATTGGTGCGAATCAGCTGCATCGAGCATTCTTTGGTCAGATACAGAAGACCCGACTGGCATTTGCCAACTTGTATAACTTGTGGCGCCGGCGAATTATTCAAATATTTATCGAAGAACGAGTATATTGTGCTACAGTTCATATTGTTCTCTTTTGTGCCAGTGTGACAAATAGCCATTAGAAGTAGAAGACATGAGGCGGTTACATGTAGCACTGCTCACGGTGGATGGAATCACTATGTGAACAATGTTGAGATCAGGTAAAGCGTACTAGAGAGATAGATAAGTCGATTGGTGAGGTTGTGAACCTTCATTGGCTGAGGTAGCTTGGGTATATACTGAGCATACCGAGTCACCACCTACCTCTACGTGGAATGCTAGAAAAAGTTAGATTAGGTTGTTAGAGGGTTCAGGCTGATCAAACTGATGCGTAGCACCAGTGCATGAAATCTCTGACTTTTGATTTGAGCCGTAGACTACCAGTCAAGTAGTCCGCAAGACGATAAGAATCTGGTTGAGAACTATTGCTGGAATGGTTGGAAATCGGTAATAATGGCACAGATTTATTCACTCTTTGACGTCTTTTAAAGCTTGAATATTTTCATTAACCTTTTTTTAAGTGATAAAATAATTAAGGAAACAAGACGTTCATCATAAAGGCGAATTCACTTCTTGGTTTTTCAAATTGAGATCTGCTAAATTGTGTAGTATGACTTCAGAACAACAGGAATATTTGCATGAATTTGGTTGCAAACGTATTTATTACTGTACTTGATTTTTTTTTACGGTTGAACATTCATTAGACATTGGTGTTTCTTTATGATCGACATGTTCTAATTCCTAACGGCTAAGCGATGACAAGTTTTCTGGTTCCCCGACTATTGATTTTAAGAGAAATAATTCAGTGTCGATGCATTTTTATGATCTACTGCGACTTTTCCCTTAGGATCACCCCCTCATAGCTTCCTTTGCATAGCAGATGTAACTAAGCCATCGACTCGTTCTGCAGATATAGTTTGTTGAGTCAGGCATTCTTAAATAATGGATCTTGAGTTCGAACTCGGTTCCATCTAAGTCGGCTTGGGTAACCGGGTAGTTTTACTGACCACCACCCATTAGGTGTTACTCATAGCTGAATATGTAAACACATGTACCAAGTTCAGTTAAATTACTACTATATTGTTGCTAGTCAACTAGTATTCTCAGCACATGTAAACTTTGAAGAACAAATCTTACTAACAATATTTTTTGTGTGTACAGGTCTTCATTTGTTCTTAGCCATGTTGTTCAACAGTCAGTCATCCTTTCTGAACACTCAGTCTAGTTAGTATTACCGGGGGGCATATTCACACGGTCGGGTATAAATGTTTTTGATCCATTGTTTATCTGATTTAACCAGTTAAATTTGAGGAACAAGAGATGAAAAGACAATAGGATTTAAATTTAGAAAGACCTGGAAATAGCTTAGGCCAATGTAAGTACATATAAACCATTATATTTTCTTTATATTTGTTGACGTTTGTTATATTACCGCCTTTCCCATTTATCGAGAAAACTGAGCGACCGTCATTGCGTGTAATCTGAAGGTTCAAGCATCCGTGCATACACATAACTTAGATTGTGTTGCATTTAAACCTACAAACTCACTCATTCCTAAGCTTTGTGGGCTTAAGAATCCTACTAATCCAATTAAGCGAATTAATTTGATCTATAGAGTTCCATACAATGACTTTGAATGAGGTCATGTACATGGTCATGTACATTGCCGATCAGGGTCAATTAGATTATCAAGACATAAGAATTTAACTAAATATAGAATTATAATTTGACGATCTGAGATAGCCGTAGTTTGGTAGACTGGTGTGCTGGGTAATGATTGAAGGTGAAATGAAAATTTCAACCGCGGTTGGGTTCGAATCAGTGACCACCGGGTTTCCAGCCCGAGGCTCTACCAACTAAGGTATGTGGTCCTACTGCCGACCAGATTTCTTTTCACTTCAATCACAAGGCGGGGTTTTGCCTGACTATCATGTGAATTCATGGTGCATTGATACCGCTTGGTCGTATTCACACTGGCTGTCTAGTCAGGACTTCTCACCTCAATCCAAATCTAGGCAGCCAGTGTGAATACGATCAAGCGGTAGTAACGCGTCACGAATTCACATGGTAGTCAGGCAAAACCCCGCCTTATGATTGGAGCGAAATAAAAATTGGTCATAAGTTGAACCTCATAGCTCATTTGGGAGAGGATCGGGCTGGAAACCCCGGTGGTCACTAGTTTGAATCCGACCGCGGTTGAAATTTTCATTTCACCTTCAATCAATACCCAGTATAAATATAGAATGACAGACTCGAATAAGATCAATGATCTAGAAGAAAACTCGGCTATTGCAATGCATCCATTGATACACAACCATACAATTGAGTGGTGGATATAGCCACTGTACTTAAGTCCAATATAATTAAGTGGAGAGAGAGAAAGAGAGAGGATTGATTACTGAATCTTTGTTCATCGAATCAACCAACACCCAACGCATATGATAAGAATGATCGAACGCCTTTCTATACCAGAGATGTGGAAAATCCTACTATTGAATGAAAATAGAGAATATGAGGTGATAGGACTGTAGCAATCAGTTTTCGAAAGTGGTGTGATTACATTGATATAATAATGAGTGATGATAATTTATGTTTGAAATGTCATCCAGTAAATAATACTGTAAAACTCACTGTGTGTTATAAACTAAATAAACAAATCCAATATGGAACTGTATTATATTCACAGTGCCGACGTTTTACAGTTGTACTAATGGGACTTGTTTGGTCACTTCAATAATACTGAGGGTAACTAATTGTACTCATAATCTTAGTTAGCAAATACAACTGTATCATTTTGTGAGTGTATGTGTTGTAGGAGATAAATAAGTCTAATAAATGATTATATTCTTCTATAATATTTGAAGTTAGTTATTGCACTTATGGGTAATAATATGGATGTAGTTTGTGAGACTATTGAAAACTTGGGAGAGCTGAGCAGCTGTTTTGTCCTAGTATGGTACTTCTCAGTAGTATGCACCTACGACTCAACGCACCTAGGATCGAACTCAGGACCCTCATGTTTCACGGCGAATACATTGAACCACTGGCTAGGAGATCAGTGGTCTACAGTTTCCTACTTCTGTCAATTCGTGATATAGCGTGACTATGCCCACCAACGTTGGTTGGATATGAAAAATCAACGGGATTTCAATCTGGAATGGCCTGGTAAATAGCCTGGGCTAATGTAAATATACATAAACCATTGTATTTTCTGGAAAGGAGAAAGCAGTGGTAGGAGACTCTAGGTGATATGATATGACTGAAAACTGATATTAGTGCCGCAGATGCATACGCACATTATGCTAATCGTAACCGCTATACTTAATCTCATCATTTTCTCATTTTTCCTTCCTCCCTTTTACTACTTTCTACTTTTAACCAATTTTTCTTTCCTACTTCGTCTTACATTTTATTGCCTTGTTACTTGATGTACTGATATGAGGCGTGGCAAGTTGGACCATTACGCAACAATGGCTGGTCCTATGTTGATCGCGATGATACTGGTGCCCACCGAGGTCTTCAGTCAACATGCGCTTCACTTCTGAATGGTTCTGACCCTACTGGTCATGGCCTCTCGTTAGAACTTTAGGATATCCATCTGGAAGCATGCCACCAATGAGTACTAAGCAGTAGTGTATTCTGAGGTTTATAGGGATTTCATTTCCAAAATTGTATTCACCCTGGACTGACGAGTTCCGCACCAGGACGTAACTACTGTCCATTGCCCCCTGGTTTTCAGTGGTTCCCTCTACTGATGTTAGTTCGTGATGATTGCAACCTTAAGAGTAATTTGAATATCATTTATCCAAAAACTTTCTAACATTGCTTGAAGTTGAGAAATTGCATCAACTATGATAGACAGCGGCTACATTATGACAAAAAAGTTTCATTTGTTATTATTAATTGATCGATGGCATCGGTTATGCATAGAATTACTCCTATGAAATGTGGTTGCATTTATTGTTGAAGATAATGAAGTAGTAACTGGAATTCGATTCGAGATTCATTGGTAACATTAGTTTTGTATGTGTGAGTGAAATCAGTAAAAGGGGATTGACTTCGAAGTTACGTGTCGGAATGTGAACTTACACCGTCAACAGATGTATTGTAAACTTGTACACATCAGGCTACTATACTGGCTGAAATAGGATTATGTTTCAATGAAGTTAATTTTGATCAGATCAGACAGTAGTTCATAATGTCAATGATGACTCTTAGTCTTCACTGCGTAGAGAGGTAGATGTGAGATACTTCGTAGGAATTTCGTTCTCATTATAGTAGGAAATGTATGGATGGCATGGTTCAAAATAATTCACAATAACTCATATATACTTAATTATTTATGCTTCTTCAAAATCATCAGAGCCGATCCACTTTCATTTTAGGTCTAATATTGCCATTTTCTCGCCTCTGCTACTGTAGGAGTGAAATACAAGACGCATGTTCCATCCTATTTAGGACTCGTCAGCTGTATGTGTACCTGCCGCTCCCCATTGAGTGATATTGCTCCCGCTGAGACTGACTACGAATCTCTTTGAACCTTTAGACGTTATCCACTGGGCTATTAGTGTATGAGAATCATCACTTGTGCTTGACTTGCTTGACTTCTACTAGCAAGTGGGCTCCTGTATAACAACAGGAAATTACAAGCATCAAACAAAAAAAAAACTTGAATGTTTTATACAAGATTATGATCCATCGTGTGTCATTACATGTTATATATATGAAGCTTTTTTTATGTATTTTTTTATTTGCAGAATATGCAACCCAAACTACTGGACCCTGTGATCAACCGCCTGTATCTACCTGTCCATCTTTCATTGCTTCTTCTAGTCACATTGAAATTTCTGATGATGAAAGTGATCAATCGACTGTATTGACCCTTCCAATGACAGGTGAAGAGCTTCCGAATAATGCTAATATACAGCGTGTAAAAGAAGAAAGCATAGCAGGTAGTTCTGTCAATCAATTATTGAGTTATATAACAGATACAGATGGATTAACATTAATCGCATCTGATGATTTTGTCAGTAATGCTTCAAAATCATCGTCATCATCCTCATCATCATTGGACAATAATTCACTGTTCTCTACAATATCACAACAAAGCAGTAGTGAACAGACTGTAGCAATGTGTTTATCAAATAGTCTTAGCCCACCATTTCTTGAAGATACACAGAGTTACTATGCTAAAAGTCCTGATGATATGAACTCGAAGCAGAAGAAAAAAAAGACAAGTGAATTATTAAGATCTCGAAATTTAGCTTACTTTAATCATGATCATGAAGATATTTATTGTCATAACGATGACAATGATGGTCTACGTGTACGTCATTCTTCAGAACCAGCTAAGATAGTGAACACCATGTATTATTGTTCATTGGATACGTGTCGTCGATGTCATAGTCATCCAAATTTAAAGTTCCAGCATACATCAGTAGTAGGATCATCTTCTTTATCAGTTGTATCAGAAATATCATTTAGAAATGATAGTGTTGAATATAATGATCAGCAGGTGTTGTCTCCACCTAGAGATGATCAGCATTGTTTATTGAAAGTACAATCCAATGATTTATTGAACTCATCACCTATGTTTTCTGAGAATATCATTGCTTCAAATGAATCACTGGTAGTGATACCTGAAGTTGAAGAAAGTAATTCTCCTCCTTCATCTATTCAACCTTCATCTGTTTTTATTCTGGCCATTCACCATATGTAGATAACCAATTAAATGATGATCTTTATCAACAGAGTACTGAAGATTATGATGTTTCTTGTGAATTGAATCTATCTACACCTTCACCGTCTTATTCCAGTCCTCGTAATGATGATGGAACATCACAAACTGCAAATATCCTCCAATTAGTTAGTGTTAACAATCAATGTATATCTGATTTATCGTTGAATATATCAGAACCTGTAAAAATGTTTACCAGTACCACTACAATATTGACTGGTCCTCCACCTTGTGTTATGACCGCCATTACTACCAATCCTATACTTGCATCGAATTCTGTTGATTTACCGTCGGATGTACAGAAAATTTCATTCCCTAAAGAAGAGATTGATTTTATTCCTGATTCACTTGAATCTTCCACATTTTCTCCACTGTATTCAAACAATTTATCAGTTGATTCATTATCAACATCAACGTTGACTTCATTGCCTGTATTAGACTCACTAGTCTCTTCTGATAACGTGACCAATTCTTCAACTATTGTAAATGTTCTTAGTACTACTACTACTTCCTCTAGTAGTATAACTACGATCCAGTATAATTCCATATCTGATGAGCATTTCATCTCTACTGATAGTTATCCAGTGAACAGTCAATATTTATCTGACTATACCATCAGTCCACATCGAGAAAGTCTTCCTAGACTGTTATCGGATAAAGAACCAGATTTCAGTTGCACTGAATTAACTCACATCAATTCGGCGCTTGATAACAGAAGTCATACAACTACTAATCATTATCAACACAATAACACTAACACTATTGATGGTAAGAGTGGATTAATGTATCGAGAATTTTATAATACACCCTTATCAAATAATCATGAGGATAAAACACTTTTGTGTGATACAGAGGATATTTTATCAGAATCATCAAATTTTGTCTCACCTGATACTGATCAATTGATTTGTGGATCAGTTCACTCGTACTCTAGTTCTGTTCTATCAAATATTTTAGACCAATCAGATTGTCTTGTCATGTCTACAATATCAGTTAATAATAACGATAATAATAATAATAATAATAATAATAATAATAATAATAATACTGGTAATAATAGTAGTAGTCATATTAACAAATCGTGTGATATGAATTTGTTTACTAACAATTATTCTGGACAATTTTCCAGTCTACCATTGATTAATACAGAGGGGTTTTCTGCATCGACTTGCACTTCCTCTGCAGTTGTATCTAATACTTATTATGACAGTAATATGGATAGTGTTAGTGGTGTTGTACCGTCATCTCAGTTCACTGCAAGTCAACAGTCAAGAGATTTAGGAAGTTACAGTTCAAGATTTGATTTTACTTCACAGCAGCAGCTGCCGCTGCATCATCATCAAGAACGTCAACCCGTCGTTTATAACTTGATGTCAGTTGAAGCATCTTCTCAACTTTCTAGTAACACTGGTGGCAGTATTAGTAATCCATCAGTAACTCGTACAAAAGCGAAACGTGGTGGTGGGGTTGGTAAAAAGAACTCGAAAATCACTTCTAAGCAGTCTAGAAAATGCTCTTCAGTTCAACCAGTTTCTTCGTTACCTCCTGTTCCATGGCTACAATGTAATCCAACAGATTCAACACATCCAAGACGTTTATCATGTCAGGTTGTACCGATGAATGAATCGATGTATAATATCTCCTATGATAGATATAATTCACCAAATATATGTAATTCAGTAAGTCTCTCACCAGTGACAATTCACTCTTTACCAATTGAACAGATGGTAAATGCATCACAGAATACAAATGATACATTGAATTCTTTTCCATGTGGAACAGATAATTCAATCGACGTCTGTGGATCACTTCATCTTCCAACAACTTCATACTCTTGTCTAACACCGATTGAATCGTACAATGTCAATATGAATGTACAACGTTTGTATGATACGTGTTCAGATTTTCAAAATTCTGGCCAATTACATGGAGTTGATGGTGTAGCCTGTTCAATGACTTCTATTCCAATTTCCTCACGCAGTCTAGAATCTCAATTTTGTAATGTATCAATTGCAGAGAATTATCAATGTAGTCAGTCTTCTTTTCTCTTTGGACGTCATCATTCAGGTCCTCAATCAATTATGCCGTGTTCTAATCAATTTATACCAGATATGTTAAACACTAATGCCTACTCACCGTTATCCACAGGAATAAGTAAGACAGCTAGAATGGTGCATATGAATGAGCAACAATCTTCTGGTCCTGTTTATCCTGTTTATTCAGGACATACTGGTTCCCTGCCTCTGGTATCTAGCACAAATAATAATAATAATAGTACTATTCCACCGCATCTTCGGTTATCTTCCACACCGACCGACAGTGGTGGTTGTACTACCCCACAGAGGAATAATTCCATTCTGGTTAAACCAGATTATCATAATTACTCAATTAGTTGTAATCAACTAACTCAATCCTCCATCCTTTCATGCGCTGAAAGTGATTTACAGCCTTGTAGTCTTATGAATAATTCTGTATCTTTGAAACAGTTACGAGGTAGTCATTGCTCTGCAGTTCAGTCGTCTTGTCCAAATATACCAGTTGATTTTCTGTCGAATATCCCTACAAACCATAATAATTCTAATATTTTTACCACTCCTACTGCTGCTGGTACTCGTGTTACCATTCATTCGACTACATCTACACTGTATCCTAGCCTACTCGATGTTACCAGTAAGAATAACAATTGTACCAATAGTGCAGTTAAACACCAGTCATCACAACCACAAGATATATTATCTCCGAGGTTAACTTTTCCTGACAATTATATCTCACCTTTCTCGTCTACAACAATAGAAGCTTGTCAAAAAGACTCATTATTGTATAGTAATAATAATAATAACAACAATTACTACTATTGTTGTTACAGTGATAATGATAATCATTTATCCTTAGTAAACCCATCTGTTGTTATGCAGCCATCATCATTAGGTTGGCCTGCAACAGATTTAGTTACTGGGACAGCAGCTGGACATTTTACACAAATTCCATATCATCCTATGCCCACTTGATTGTAAATTATACTATTGCCGTTATCGTCGTTATCGCTGCCAGCGACACTGCCACTTCTTATGTGTACTTTATCACCTTCCCCCTTTGTCTACCTACGACTCCTGCCACGTTTATATACATATATTCTGACCGTTTTTATTGTTATTTTTAAATTGAGAATATTAAAATGATATGCCTTGTCTATACATAGTAGAAACAGACCTGATGAGATACTTTGAAATGTTTTATTATTTTTTGACAGAAACATTTTTTCATTGTACAAAGTTTTGATGATGAATTATTCGTGTTATATATAAGGATGATAAGACAGGGAAGGAGAATATTGCTCTTTTATTATTGAAATGACTCAATATTTATATACATACAGAAAGTATAATTCATCCTGTGTTGTCAATTTACATTTGATAAACTCGAAAGAGTTTGGGTTGTTGTATGTTCGAGAATATGTGTATATATTGTCGTAGTGTAAGTGATTTCATCAGACTCATCTTGTCATGTAAGCTGATGTATATATCGGGTGAAATAAAAAATTTGAGCCGTGGTACATGGTTTCTGGCCCGATACCACGAGACCCGATCGCTGATCAAATTTTTATTTTACTTCAACTACCAAAGGGGTGATGGAACTCTGGGAACAAACCAACCAAGAACCTATCGCTCAGTAAATATACAGAAGGAAGTGGAGATGGATTGGGTATGCACTGAGAAAACCATTTCGGGGACATCACGCGCTAGGCACTCGGGTGGAACCCAGGTGGGAAGCGACGAGTTGAGCGTCCGAGGGTGACATGGAGGAGACCGTGCGAGGAGGAAATGAGAGCTTGTGGGCTGTCGTGGAGCCAGGTTCAAAAGGTTTCAGAGGACAGAGCGCATTGGAGACGTGCTACTGAAGCCCTATGTTCCACTAAGAACCCAAGGGACAAGTGAATAGTAAATATACCAAAGGGGTGGGGGGTTGTCTGACTGATATATGAATTCTTCACTTGTTACTACCGCTTGGTTGTACTCACATTGGCTACTCAGACAGTTAGGACTTCTCATTTCAATTCAAATCTACTTGAATTATAGAGGTGGGGAGCATTATATATGTTATGAGTTTGACTATCTAAAATAGCTGTAGTTTGGCAAACTTGTCACTCTAAGATCTGTAACTTACACTTGGTATCAGGAGTGTGCACAGCGCATACTTGTTGGTTTAGTTTCTCTCGGCTGGTGGAAATTCATACTTCGTGGAGCAGCTTCTTCGGACCAAAACATTTCTGGTCGATTATCGATTGAAAATCTGTGTAGGTTAAATAAGTTATCTAACTTGATCCTGGTTATCAGTACTTGTTGTCATCAGTTCCAGTAACCTCGAGATGTACAATAAGCTGTTCCCGCCGTTCATCGGTTCGTTTTTATACTGAGCTATTTGGTTCACTGTTTATTTTGGAGCATTACGATGCCATCAGTTTCTTGGATGAAGGTATTATGAGTTCTCAATTCAAGCCTTTTGATTTGACTGGACCCGCAATCAACATAGGCGTTAACTGGTCTGACTGCGATTATCTGCTTTTCAATCCGGTTCCAGTTAAGTGAATATCGTAACAACAACTTTACTTGTTACTACCGCTTGGTTGTACTCACATTGGCTACTCAGACAGTTAGGACTTCTCATTTCAATTCAAATCTACTTGAATTATAGAGGTGGGGAGCATTATATATGTTATGAGTTTGACTATCTAAAATAGCTGTAGTTTGGCAAACTTGTCACTCTAAGATCTGTAACTTACACTTGGTATCAGGAGTGTGCACAGCGCATACTTGTTGGTTTAGTTTCTCTCGGCTGGTGGAAATTCATACTTCGTGGAGCAGCTTCTTCGGACCAAAACATTTCTGGTCGATTATCGATTGAAAATCTGTGTAGGTTAAATAAGTTATCTAACTTGATCCTGGTTATCAGTACTTGTTGTCATCAGTTCCAGTAACCTCGAGATGTACAATAAGCTGTTCCCGCCGTTCATCGGTTCGTTTTTATACTGAGCTATTTGGTTCACTGTTTATTTTGGAGCATTACGATGCCATCAGTTTCTTGGATGAAGGTATTATGAGTTCTCAATTCAAGCCTTTTGATTTGACTGGACCCGCAATCAACATAGGCGTTAACTGGTCTGACTGCGATTATCTGCTTTTCAATCCGGTTCCAGTTAAGTGAATATCGTAACAACAACTTTACTTGGTTCGTGTTAGTTCTTCAGAAAAAAATAATTGATGCCTAAAACTCGTTTAAGTGTATTTATACCCTTTGAGCTGCTAAATTAGGTCAGTACGTGAGTGTCAACATAGTACCTTGGATTGTTATGCAACGGTTCAAGTTGCCGTATATGCCTCGTTTAGAGATTTAAGGCAGCAAGATGGAAATTTAAATAATGTAATGAACTAGTGTTGTTACTTGTGTTATCCCGTCGTTGATTGACCCGAATCGATACCCATCGCACAAGAAGTGGCTTGGTGGTCTAGTGGATAACGCTCTGGCGTTTGAAGAGATCGGGTTCGAGTCCTACTGGGGATGACACCACTCACTAGGAGGCAGGTACATCCAGCTGACGAATCCCAAACAGGGTGGAATGGGCGTCCTAGATTCTACTGCTAGCCACTATGCATCATATATATATATATATATATATATATGTAGTGAACTTGATAGAAATATATAAAGCAAAGAGAAGAGAGGTGAAGAGAAACTGTAGAAAGCAACATAACGGTTAAAATGAAGATACAGTTTGGAAGCATCTGTACGACAGATAGATTATGAGCCATAACACCTATGGTCTTTAACTACCACTTTCTGTTGTCATACGAGGTATAATAAGAATCTTCACATTCCTATCGATACCTCAGTATCAGGCAGAAAAAATCAACACTGAACCTCACACATAGGTGGTTTACTTCAATTTGTCACACTTCACAGTGGCTCTGAACGAACAAGTGGATAGAATAAGAGTGATATCAAAGTAGACAAAATTCTGTAAGAGAATAAACAATTTGATAATAATGTTTAGTGCAAATATTCAAGCTTCACAAGGTGTCAAGGGATGGATACAACTGCGCCATTGTGACTGATTTGCAGCCCTCACCATGAGTCAACCACTGGTTCCTTCATTTCACGGGATAGCACCAAGGTAGTTTGAGACCAGTCAGATACTTCATGGACTAGTGTCACGTCTTGTTCTGGTCATCTTGAACTCTCTTCCAACTTCCTCTAGCATTTCGCGTCGAGGTGGACGTTGGCTCGAGACACGCAGTACATATTTGAGCCATTTCAGCTGACTAAGGTTCAGAACCTCATGAGTCGGCTCGACTGTCTTGTCAAGTAGCCTTCGTCTGACCTCAACATTGGTCATATGGTGATTTCACCAAATGCTACGAAGACATCTTTGATCAAAACTCAGAAGTCACTTCATGTCTACTTTCAACGGCCATGTCTCACAGCGAGAACTTAACAACGAAATTCAAGAACTCATACCAAATTTTAATTTGTTCAGTTTTCTCAACCTGACCATATTCCTCATAACACTGCATAATGTCTCAGGATGCGTAACGAATAATTTCGCCGTTTGGGTCTATGAAGCTTCACAAACCTACAAACTAGCTAACCTCTTTTGCGTCTGACTCTACGTCTAATCGCTGCTCATTTGGTGTGGTGGTTGTACGATACGTGGTCGGTCTTGTGAAGGCGATGGTGGTCGAGCACCTAAAGACGCCTCATACCCTCCCCTTTTTAATGATCGTGTTCCACAATCATATAGTAGGACAGAGTGAACTACGGTATGGTACACCTTAGCCCTCATCAGACAATCGGATATTACACTGGCACCGAGGGTAACGAAAGCCAATCAAGCCTTATGTAAGCATGTTAAGAGCTCATCTGCCACTAAACCATCATACTTGATTCAAACTTTTAATTTAGTGAATTGGTCAACACACTTAATCACATCACTCCCTATTTTCTGGTGAAGCATCAGTTAGTTGCATAGAAACGTGCCCTAAACATTCCTGCTTTGTTACATAGGGTGTCCAGGAGACCTAGTTTTATGTATGTCTTCATCTAATAGTACTATGTCATCTGTGTATTTAAAGTTTATTAAGGAGTTTGCTGTACCTCTGTACAGTCCCCTAAGACGTCGCACGGGGGTAGGTAGGTAAGTCTCTGTAAGCACTTCTATATCAAGTTAATATCAGAATGGAGACCGTTGTTGGACACCATTTGACGTACACCACTCACCGTCTATGTCCTAACAGAAATTCAGCTCTTATCGGGCTTCCTTCAGTATAATAATTTCAAAAATGCCAAAGAGAGAAGATCCGGTCGATACATCTACAGTCAGGTTTCAGACTACGGCTAGCTGGCTAGAGTGTGACAAAGGTAAGGTGTTTATCTTGGGTGACCAGAGGTGTCACGCTGATTCTGACTTCCCAATAGCAAAGGGAGTTTAGAAAATTTCAGCTCTAGAAATAGTATGCTTTCCCTTACCCCAGGGTGTTCTGGTGCTGGTGGTTTTGGTTTCCTCTCTGACATTAAAGCAATCACATCTAACACCAAAAATCCTCAAAATGTGGTTTGACCAGTCTCAAGCAGATGTCCCATAGGCTCTGCAGTCACAAAAATCTCTTCTTCTTTCAGGTAGCTTAACGAGAAATAACCTTCCACAGTGTGGCCAGTCGGGAAGTGTAAATAACCCACACGCTTCCAGTAGTATATAACACCCAATCAAATATAACCTATCCTCCCCAACTCCTTCTCTTCCTTTCCTTTCACCTCCTGATACTAATATTAGGCCTCTTACAACTTACCCAACTTCTCACTCTGCCACCATTGCCAGCAAACAAAACATCATTCTGAGTCTATTAAGACCCCACCATCGATTTCATGTAGAAGCTTTCTACGTCCGAACTCTATGCCAAATCAGGCAGCAGGCACCACTCGCAACAACAACTATGAAATATCAAGCCATAGGTCTACCTTGTGTCTCTCAAACAAGCATATCACATCCGAATATGGTTATTGAATTGACCTCACTTGGCCACTGTAGTGAGTCTTCAAGATTCACTTAAAGATTACCTGGAGATCCAATGACTACCTTTCGTCGACTCGTTGTTGTAGCCATAACAATGAATTGCACGGTAGGAAGTGAGCTTTTCGATCAGATACCCATCAATAGTCGTCTATGTGCTGCTCGGTTGAATGGATTTGTAAGAACTAGGAAGGATTTTGAGACTAGACAATGCCTATTCGTAATCTCCTCCTACTTGCCCATCGAATGTAGTTCAGATAACGCAAAGCATGAGTTTTGTCAGAAGTAATACTGAAATTATGCTGTGAGCTCAACCTTAGGATAGTG